TTCATCATTGAAACATGTTTACGATATTTTCTTAAAGATAATCATATTCGTCGAATTGTTCTTAATAATACAAAAATAGCGATTGGAGGAAATAAGTAAGTTTAAATACACAATGAAGTTATACAATGTAGATAACATTTAATATTTGTAGAGGTGGTATTTTATCTTCAAATATATCGAATTATATTGAACATTTATTTATTTGGCGTATATTATGTGAATTAATCAATGAAGAAGATGATGATACAAATATTCATCCGGATTTTCATGAATTTATATCTTATCTTTATCGTATAATTAAATCTTCTGTTAATGAAAAATTATTGGTAACAAAAGAATTTATTATTTGTCAATATGTGTCAATTCTATCAACATTTGATATGCTTGATATTTATCGACGTAAATGTGTTGAAGCTATGAGTCGTTGTATACTTGTACATTACGGTCAATATGAACCTATAATTAAACAAGCTCATCAACTTATTCATCATATTTATCCATCGAATGATACAATAAATGAACGATATCAACTTATAATCTATACATTAAATGATATTATTCAACGTTGTCAAAATGTACAATTAGAAAAGCTAATATTTATACAATGTATGACTATAGCAAGAGTATTTATTGAACAAGAAAAAAAATTTGATTTAAATTATGCAAATTTTAAACAATTAATTGATTCATTAGTAATAAAAAAATAGAACTTGATCGATTTGAATGTTGTGTTTTTCTTTTATTTATTTAGATTAAATCAGGTTTATCACACAATGAATTTGATAGTCAAACTCAAACTTTATCAACATTAGGATCACTTATGTGTCATTCACAACAAGCAGCTACGGAATATATCAAACAAATTTTTCATATCATCGTAGGTTGTCTTTAATCATATTTGAGGTGATGTCAAGTAATCTGGAAAAGAAAGCTTCTAAAAAGAAAAAATTCGGAAAATTTTTACTCGAAATTTATTAATAATAGAAGACAACATCTTGAGGGTGTGGATGTGGGTGAGGGTGGCTGCAGGTGCGGATGTATAGGTGTAGACTATTCTTCTTCTACACCAACATCCTCACCTAGACCCACACGGCAAAACCTTTCGAGATAATTTATTCCTTCTCCAGTTTTTTTTCCAGATTTTTCCTATCTAAATTTTTATATTTCGAATTACTTAACATATTCATATTTAAAATTAACTCTTATTATCCATATCTTGGGTGTGGGTTCATCTCTCCTTGACCAAAAACATACATATCCTCAAGATAGTATTGTTTTCATATTCTAAATATTCTATGTTTATCTTTAGAATAAAGTCGAAAATATATCATTGAAATGTCAGTCATTATCAATTTTTATTGATATTCTTCTTGTACATGGTATTAATATTTTAACACCAACAATAAATCTTGATAATTTAACACCTTCTCAATTTCTAACAGAATATTTTTTAAATCTTTTTCATGAACAAGTAATAGAATTTTTATATTTCTATTTGTAATGTAAATTATATTTATATGTAGAATATGGAAATAAAAACTATCATTGTATTTGGTCTTATGAAGTTATTTCTTAGTTCTCGTCTTGAACCAACAATTAAATTACTTCGAATTATACTTGATTATCGTTTTACAAATGATCATCGATCTATTAATCAACATGAACGAAATTAAATAACTTCTTTCTTTTATTTTTTTAGTCATTTATCGAAGTTAGTAAAGTTATTTTTTTTGCTCTCTAATCTATTTTTCTATTGTAGTTCTAATGTTTTACTTATTGAAGAATTAACATTTGATCTTATTACTCATTGTTTACCATTTATATCTAATAATAGTACAATAGCTTATAAATCAATTTTAACTGAATCCATGTCTTATTTTTGTATTGAACTTCTTTCATTATTAACTTTACCAACGGAAGAATATTCTAGAGACCTGCGGGACAGTCCCGAATCCCGAAAAATCCCGAATGTCCCGTCCCGCGGGACAATCGGGACGTGTCCCGAAAACTTTCCGGGACACGCGGGACGGGACGGGACTATTCGAAAAACTTCGGGACGGGACATTCGGGATCGGGACAATATAAAAAAATCAGAAGTCCCGAATTTTTTTTTAATCGGTATACTAAGCTATGTCTTATACTTCGATTTTTGTCTATTTCTTATTAGAAATGTTGGATGAAACGTTGATTTACATTCAAAAGTCATAAAAATGCATGTATTTTAGCTTATTGGTGTTGCGGCGAAGATGTGTTGTTTTTTGTCACAGAGTGACATCTATATTTTTTTTCTCATCGGGACAAACGGGACGGGACGGGACTATTCGAAAAACTTCGGGACGGGACATTCGGGACGGGACAATAAAAAAGTTTGTCCCGCAGGTCTCTAGAATATTCACATTATAATCTTGCTAAAAATCTTCTCGAATCAATTCATAATTCAACAAATAATGATACGATATGTATTATAAAATCTTATTTAAATACAATAAAACATCTTCAATTTCAATATATGAAT